TGTATGTCAACTGTAATTGAAAAATAAAATCATTTTAAAAAGGTGTATTGGCTCTTTTCCAAATAATTCAGTCGACCTAATAAATAGTCACAAGTTCTTTTGAGGAAAGCTGGAAGGGGGACCCAACTTCCCTTTTATTTAAGAGGCGCTGTGTCAGCGAACCAGCTCAAGGCTGAAACTTCAGAGATGTTCAACAGATTGGCTCAAGTCAGAATTCTGCTCATCAGCTCCAGAGCTTTTTTTTTTGGTACGTGCCCCTAGTGGGAACTGAACCCAGGACTCTCTGGTCTGCAGGCCGATGCTCCAACCCCTGAGCCAAACCGGCCAGGACTCCAGAGCTTTTCTGTGCATACAGATCAAATAAAACAGCCCGGCCGGTGTGGCTTAGTGGACTGCGCGTTGTCCTGCGGACTAAGTGATCCTGGGTTGACTTCCGGTCAGGGCACATGCCCGGGTTGTGGCCCTGATCCCGTCAGGGGCATGCAGGAGGGACCCAATCGATGCGTCTCTCACATTGATGTTTCCCTCTCCCTTCCTCTCGCTCTTAAAAAAAAAAAAAAAAAAAAAATCAAATACATTAGAAGGCTGCCATCTGTTCAGTTCCAAGGATACTGTAGTCAATTAGCAAAGGACAAAGGTATACACAAATAAAGGCCCCTCTTCAAAACTCCCACAGACCTTCTTCTCTTTGTATGTTAACTGCACTCATAATTCTTTTCTTTTGTATGCACTTGAGGGCCTATTGTTGCTAATTGCCATCACCCCTGGACTTTCCCGTGCCTTGCTTTTTCCTTTACCTGCAGTTCATTCCATGGTACCACCAGCGAAAATCTGATTGAACTAGGTCACTGGGTCACTCATGTCCCATCCCCCGCCTTCCCTCTACCAGCCCCTACAAGGCTATCATCGATCTCGCAAAACATAACCCAATTCCAGAATCCCAGTCTAAGAATGTTTCCTGAGGTCACTTCTGGTCCCAGTAACTGTCTGGGTTCCAATGTAAAACAGGACACACTTGTCAAGGGACATCTGAGGACAGTTTATTTACAAAGGTAGAGGTGTAGGGAAACCCCAGTGAGCCTGAGGGGAAACAGATCCTGAGGCAGAGATCCCCCTGAGGCAGGCTTTCTGTAATCAGATAAAGTCTTATACATACAGGGTGGGGCAAAAGTAGGCTCACAGTGTTGGTATAGCATATACCGTAATTAATATATAGTACAAGAATAAACTGTTGTGTCCTGGCCAGTCTGGCTCAGTGGGGCGAGGGGAGCAGTGCAGAAGGTAGCCACTCACTCTCCCGACTCCTCTAGAAAATAACTTGTGTACTGACAACTGTAATCCTATTTTTGCCCCAGCCTGTATTGTATATAAACATTTCTTTGGGGATGGGGGTGTCGTGTGCAGCTGTGTCTGAAATTCTCATTTAGGTCTTTTCTTTCCTCCGTGTTTTGTAGTTCTTGGCGTACAAATGCCACTCGCTGTTAGGGTTATTTCTGAGTGTTCTGTTTGCACATTTGTTTTAGGCTGTGAAAACCGACCCTGGTGAAATGTGGGTGCTGGACCATGTCTAGCTCGGCTGAGTGAAGGGACTCTCGGCTCTCACTCACGGGCTCACAGTAGTGCAGCCTACTGCTCCAACTCGGTAGGAATCCCCTCGCTGGCAGTCTCCTGTTTAACACAACACACACACAGTTGGGTTCCAGTGGGCTTTTATTGAGTTAAATTAACAAAAGTCAAGATTTTATCAACCACCTTTTCTGAACTTGATAAACTCAGCAGAGATTCCGGTCCATATGTGCACATACAACTCACACATCGCAACAAAAACCAAGCCCACTGGAACATCTGCCAATTAACAGAAAGCCAATTTCCCTTTCCCCAAATGTTTTCAAATTTTTGAGTCTCCACTGTTCACTTCTCAGTGGAACTGGTCCCTTGTGGCTAGGGACAACAAAATTCTACCCCATTTTCATTGAACAAAAATTTTTTTTCAGGTTTCAGTTGTTTCAAAAACAGGGAAGAGTGACTTTTTTTTTTCCTCCAGGTACCCCTCCCCCACAACCATTGGTTAAAATACAGTAGTCTGTATCTTAATTACCCGACCCTACCCCCTCCCCTGCCCAGTATTGTCTACTGGAGAATTTAAACACACTTCCTGTTGGAACCTGTCAGCGGTGGAGGGGCAGAGTCCAGGTGCCAGGCTAGCTCCCTCCTGACCTCATGACCTGTTAGAACCTTTGGAACCTAACTCTTTACCCCAAAGATGAGTGTGTAGATCAAGAGAGTGGATTTTCTTTGGGAGTTTTAAAAAACTATCTTTAAGGATATACAGTAGAACTACAAGCTCACCAAAGTCCACTGAAGTTCACCAAAAAGTTGACTGACATCAGCTCCCATGAGGCCAATAATTTTGTATGACAAAGATATTTTGCCAGAAAATGATCCCACAATAACAATTTTTAAGATATACAGAATGCTGAAAAACTAGCAAATTAAAATAACATGGCTTAATTCCCAAGAATTTATTTCATTTTTCTGTTACTCATCTATAAGGTCAGGAGTGTGGCTAAAGGCAGTTTCTGATGAGGTTATGAGCTTTCAAAGTGTTTCTAAATCCTTAGTGCAGACACCCTCCCTTTGGGGCAGTCACCTCCCTCCCACCCCTATTTAAAAAAAAAAAAAAAAGAAAGAAAGAAAAAAAATTAAACCAAGTAATCAGAATGAGATGTTTTGATTCCAACAATGTACACTCGTGCTTTGTGCTGAGTTGTCTGGTTCTAACCCAAGCATGATGGTATCAAACACAAAGCACGTGGCAAAGGAAAGATGCTCCCATCTCATTCTGAAAACAAATATGATGACCAGTTGTCTACCTCCCCCCACCCAGGTATTTGGGGCCAACCCTTATTACGGTACAGGGCAAATTTGAAAATAATTTAGAGACACATTTAGGTTTTCCTCTCCCTCACTTCTTCCCATGGAAGATCATTTTGGAACGTATTCCATTCCTAATGGAAAGGCAAGAAAGTTTCTCCATCAGCATGTACAGGGAGAGAAAAAATAGCCCAGAGGCAGCGTGTGTAATAGTCCATAACCCATTACACAACTATACAACCACAGGCTAAGCCATGGGCTAGATGTTATTTAAATATTAAAAATAGGGAATAGTTTTCATCCAAATGAACCACTGGAAAAATATTACCATTACTTAAAATGAACCCCCAATACTGGAAGAACACGAAAACAATTTCCAATAGTAACAAATGCGCCTTATTGTGAGGGGATTTAAAAAAAAGGAGAGACCAGGCTTTGACCTGGTCCTTAGAGCATCTTTCCGTTTAACAATTCCTATTCAAGAGTCAAGCACCAAAACTGGACAGCCGCCCGCACCAGACTGCCCAGCACTGGTGCCCCAGACATAAGTGCCACGCCCCCTCAGAGGCTGTACTTCAGTATTACTTTCAGCTCACTCTGTGCTTTGAGGCCCACGGGCACATGGCACCAAGTGGACAGTCTGAGGAGGGCCGAGAGGACTGTGCTGGTTAGCCACCCACACCGTCTAGCGAGATAGAAAATTGCATTATAAGCCTTTCCTGCTTTTCTTCTATGATGATCCCTCTTATCTTGCCAGAGGTGAGGGACAGAGAGTGCTGCAACAGTACATGGCAAGATTTTTTGGGGGGGATGGTCAAAAGTTGGTGCCTTTTAAATTCCCTCCACCCATCCCTCCCTGGAAAAAAGTTACTTCCTTAATTAGGGCTTGTATTTAGTTGCCAACACTGGCTGGATAGAAGAACTGATGTGGCTTGGATTCCAAATAAATGAGCTTCTTTTTAGGTTTTGTACTGTGCAGCTCTTGCTACAATTTTTAAGGAGTCGGGGCTATGTCTAATCAGGAGGCATCTGCAGGATTTTGATCTTCAAGGAGTTTTGGGTGAGTCACAAATAGTTCTTGTTTAGAACCAGAGTCAAAAGAGCAACTTTGAGTAATTGATTTCTTTATCCAGATGAGTTAAGCATGAAAGCATAGGCAGGACTTATACTATTTTAGGGCTTTGAAAAACAATAGAATATGGAAATTAAATTTTTAAATTTTTCTTTTTTTTTTTTAAGCCCTAGATGCCTCCTGATTGACCTAGTACACTGGGTTAAAAGGGAATTAAAAACATTTTTTTAAAAAAGTTCACTGGTTTTGATTCATCTCACTCCTTTTGCCTGGAGATCAGGCCAAACATCAAGCATGTTGGGAGGGGCACAATTTAATGCAACACTATTGACTGTAAAGCATTTGCCAGCAATTTACAATGCAAAAATGACACTTGTCACAAAGCTAAAGGATGGCAAGCAGCTTTCTGCAGCATGAAAGTTAACAGCTCTCAGGGGTTGCCCATTCCTGCAAGTTTGCGTATCAAGGTGGGCAGAGGGCAACACACTGACACAGTACGGGAGGTGATCACAGGAATGAAGCCCAGAACTGCTGACCTCACCTGAGCTGGTACTGGCTACTACTGTGAATGCAAATCCATGCTTTATACATCTACTGCTCAGACACTGCCACTCAACTGAGCTCCCGCTCTGCAAGGCAGATTCATCTTTGTCCCCTTTTGCAGAGCTTAAAAAGTTTCTCAAACTTTTAAAAAGCGGGAAGCAAAATCAGAGAGAGCGTCTCAAAAATAACACCATGAATTATACAGGCTTTTGACGTCTCTGGGCTCCCTCTGGCAGGCCTACTCTAGAGGTACCAGACAGTGTGGCAGCAAACTGCGAAGACTTCAGGGCCCCTTCCCCAACAGTGGGTCGCCACAGAAGTCTGCTCTCTACAGTAAAAGGTCAAAGTACTTTTTTAGAATTTAGTGTTGCGGAAAACTGAGCCCCTCTCATCTTTAGCTGCTCCCATAATCACTCTAATCCCCTTAATCCCAGCAACCTTCATCAAAAAAAAAAAAAAAAAAATACATATATATATACATACACACACACACACACACATATGTGTATGTATATATATGTATATATACATACACATATATATATATGAACCCAGAAAAAAACGTATTTACAAAGTTTATACAAGTATACACACCCAATTTTCTACGGGACAAGCGTCACCACAGAGGAAAGAGGGTCAGGCTGACACGTCTACACCAAGTGCCACAGCTGCTAATGAGGCGCATGTGACCAGTCTTTAGTGTCTGCTGCAGAGCACAAAGGCTTGTCATATGGCTCCTGCAATGACATAGACGGCTCTTTCCGTTGGGAGCGATGATGTTGCTTCTACTCAGCCCAGAAGAAATTTTTACTTGGGATTGTTTTTTTAAATACATGTATTTACAGTGTAGATGAACTGCAGTTGCATATCAACTCCTCCACTTAAAAGAAAAAAAAATGGTGTTGAACATTACTAATACGTTTCATCTTCCAGCCCTGGGCTTGAGTACTGAGTAGAAAAGGAAGAAAGAGACTTCAATGTGAAACCAAAATGAAAGAAAAAGTTTTAAAAAGAAAAATGAAAGAATTGCTGTTGTTGATTCCTTGGGCTGTGTCTAAAAGATGATGTTCTGAATGGTCTCATAGCATAAGGCACTTCGCACAAATAAGTAATAAGCTCTTCAGGCTTAAAAAACGGATGAGTAATCAGGGAGAAGTTGAAATGCACTTGAGAGTCAGCTGCTGAAGAATTCTGAAATCATAGACAAGCTTGTGTTTTCATCAAGATTCTTCTCTTTTTAGGGTTTCTCCCATTCTCTTCTTTCTCTTCCTTCCTTGTCCCCCACTTCACCAGAAAGCATTTTCTAAAACCAGCAGTTAGTGCAACTAATGTTCAGTCGGCACACAGTGCAAACAAGTGGAACAAAAAAGGTATATTCCTTCTTTTCAGCGTTTTCTCTTCACCAGTTAAAAAAAGAAAAAAATGTCTGCGTTAAGTCTTCATAGTTCCAAAAAAAAAAAAAAAAAAAATGAAAAACCCACAAAGAGAAGAGCACCCCCCCAAAATGATGTGTCACAGATCCAAACAAGCCTTCTTTAGTTTGTCAAAGCCTAAAGAAAGAAGAAACCTAAAATTAACATTTGTAAAAGCAACATACATAGGTTTTTACCATCTCCGCCCCAAATGCCCTGTAACAGCTCCCCCTGGGCTCCGCCTACTGCAGGGCCACGCAGCCGCAGGAGGGTCTGCCAGATGGTTCTGCAACAGGAAGCAGTCATTCACAACTTACCAATTTTTTTTAAACCTTACAAAAGCTTAATAAATAACCTGACAATATACTAGCAAACATTGGCTAGTTTTACATTTGTCTGAGGATTTTGTTTGACATTTAAGTTTTTAAAAAAGTGAAAAGAGCAATTTCAAAAACCTAAAAACAATAGGTAAGATTTTCATTGCAAATTTGAATATCATCTCTCAAATTAAATCAGATTTTCGTGAGAACAAAACTCCACAATAGTTTACTTCCCTTTATGTTGAGCCTTGTTTTGAGCATTTCTACCACACCCCACTAGTCCCCACGAGATTACATGAGAGGATGGCGCAGAAAACCAGAGTGGGCGTTTAAAGACTCATCCTCATAACTTGATCACACACTGGCGATAGGTATTATATGGGTAATTTAACCTGATTTATTAAGGTACCATTTGAAATTAAGAGCGAATTCCGGCCGTCATCAACAAATCATCACACAACAAGGGTCGGCGAGGGTGTGGAGAAAAGGGGACTCTAGCACACTGCTGGTAGGAATGCAGACTGGTGCAGCCACTGTGGAAAACACTACGGTGTTTTCGCAAGTAATTAAAAATAGAGCTGCCATTTGACCCAGTGATCCCACTTCTAGGAATATATCCTAAGAAGCCTGAAACACCAATCAGAAAGAATATATGCACCCTTATGTTCATAGTAGCACGATTTACAATTGCTAAGATCTGGAAACAGCCCAAGTTTCAATCAGTAGATGAGTGGATAAAAAAAAAAAAAAGAATGTGGTACATTGCCCTGGCTGGTTTGGCTCAGTAGTTAGAGCGCTGGCCTGTGGACCAAAGAGTTGTGGGTTCGATTCCAGTCAAGGGCACATGCCTCAGTTGCTGTTCCTCCCTAGCCCTGGTTGGAGTTGTGCGGGAGGTAGCCAGTTAAAAAGAAAAAAAAGGTGTGGTACATTTACACAATGGAATACTATGCAGCTGTAAAAAGAAAGACCTCTTATCCTTTGAGATGACATGGACAGACCTGGAGAGCATTATGCTAAGCGAAATAAGCCAATCAGAGAAAGACAAGTATCACATGATCTCCCTTATTTGTGAAATATAATGAACAAAATAGACCTAGAGACATAGTAGTAGGGTTCAGACTGACAAACTTCAGAGGAGGGGGCGAGGGGAAGGGACGAGATAAACCAAAGAACTTATGCATATAAGCATAACCAATGGACACAGACAACAATGCTGGGGGGAGGGGTTGGGAACAGGAAGAGGTGTCAATGGGGGAAAAAGGAGAAACATCTGTAACAAAAATTAATGAAATAAAAACTAAACAAAATTAAACAAAAGAGTGAATTCCAATAGAGATGACTGAATGATACAGAAAAATATTTTCACATTCAAAATTGCTGAAAAAGATTCTCTTTGCTTTTATTATTTTTGAAACCTGATTTTGTCTTAGCACTGTTCACATACCACATTACTTAGAAGACTGCATTCAAGAGTAACATTTACAGGATTTCTAATGAGAAAGATCACAACTTCACCAAGAGACACTTCCTGTCACTCATTCATGCAGCCAGGGCGCCCTATATGGCTACTGATTACATATGGCGGCACATCAGGTCTCCCCACGAAGGGGCTCTTTGCTTGTCTCTAAACATTATGCTCACTGAGCTGTTCTGTCGAGTACGCACATGCTTGTTATGGTTTGTCATCTTCTACAGGCTCACTGTGGTATTCTGCCACATAGAGGCTCTTGTCAATGTTGCTTGGGATAGGTTTAATTTCTGTTCCCAGCTGCTCCTCAATACTTTTCAGGTTGAAGCGATCATCATATGTGATCAAGTTGATAGCTAAGCCAAGATGACCAAAGCGACCTAACAACAAAAAAAAAGATTTTTTAATTAACAAAAAAATGAGTTGAATATGAGTGTGCATGTTGAGTCTGTAAGCATCAGAACCACACAGGACCCATGTTTTTGTTCAACGCCAGTCTGGGATCTGGACCCTCAGACTCACATGCTTCAGGGTCCCCGGACCACAGCAGTGCTCCACTCTGCCGGTGTCAAGGGACAAATGGATGCTTACTTGTGTCAAAAGTTGCCCAAATACACATACTATACGGTAGTTCCATACTGCACTGCCTGATGAGAAAAGGTTCTCCTTCATGAAATCTATCTCGATTTAAGCATATGGTAGTTAACTTTTCTAATAAAGTGTCCTAGAAGAACTAGAAATTAGTCTTAAATATCCATCAACTAGATTAATTTTAATTCACTGTTCTCATTGCTACCACACTATTTCACATAAAAAAATAAACTTCAGTGATTCAACTTCTCAAAAATAACTTCCAAAGAACAACTCCTTCCTTTCCCTCACCTGATCTTCCAATACGATGGAGATAGGTCTCTGCCAGCTTCGGGAAGTCAAAGTTTATTACCACATTCACAGCTTGTATATCAATACCTCGGGTAAACAAATCTTAAAAAGAAAAAAACAAACAACCCTTCATTATAACTTTCAATACTTCAACATTTAAGCAATTTAAAACATTTAAGCATGTGTCTTGGCACCATAATACTATTTAACAATATTTCTAGAATAACCTAAATTTATTAATTTCATTTAGTAATTCAAATGCATTTTCAAATTTGTGGCATTACCTTTCATGCAAATTATCATAACATCTGCTCACAAGTTACCTAAGCCCAGTTCTCTAAGGAAACTTTAGAAAATGGTCTGAGGTGAGTGCAGATACAGGAACAGAACAGGATAACTGGTCAAATCATAAATGAGCCTCAGAAATAACCAGTCATTTTATTTTCTTTAGTCTGTTTTCTAGTATTTAGATTAAATAGTAAATTACTTATTAAAATAGTTTGTTGTGTCTTAGAATACTTCAAAAAGTGGTAATTCACTAGCAGTAATTATTTATGTTTTGTTTAGAATTCATGCATCCCATTCTGCTAAATTATTTATAGTAGGTCCGAGGTTAAGCTAATATGCAAGGCCATCATCCCTTCTCTACTTCTAGTCCCACAATTACTATGCTAATTTAGGCTCTGAAAACTATAAACAGAAACAACCATAGGCTAATAACTAGGTTTACCTGCTTCTATCAGCTCCACACCCCAACAGAACAATCGATGATGGTCAGAATATATTTCTAAACTACTACTATGAATTTGTAACTCATTGCTTCCAATTGCCTCTGGATAAAATTTAAGATCTTCCTCTTCATATTTTGGTCTTGACATACTTTTCTAACACATCTCCTGAAACTGTCCTCTCTACCAAACTCATCCCCATCTTTCCTTGAGCATAACTTTAACCCTGCACGGATCACTTCTGACACCAGTCCCCTGCCTTAGAATGATCCAGCTTGTAAAGCCAGTTAAAATTCCATCTATTCTCAGATAACTTCAGGCTAGTTATTTCTCTCTCCTATGAAAATTTAGGGTTACTTGCTATAGTTTACCCTTAAACAATGTGAGGGATCAGGGGTGCCTACCACTGCAGTAAAAAATCTGTATATAACTTGACACCCCCAAAACTTAACTATTAATATAGCCTACTACTGATCAGAAGCCTTACCAACATCAATTAACACATATTTCATGTTATGTTTTTATTTTATTTATTTATTTAATCCTCACCCAAGGACATTTTTCCATTTTTGGTTCAGATAGAGTGGGAGGGAGGGAGAGAGAAACATCGATGTGAAAGGGACACAAAGAGTGGTTGCCGCCCTGGCCGGTTTGGCTCAGCGGTTAGAGCGTCGGCCTGCGGTCCAAAGAGACCCGGGTTCGGTTCCCGCTAAGGGCACGTACTTCGGTTGCAGTTTGTCCCTGGCCCTGGTTGGTCGTGCGGTGGCAGCCACTCGATGTGTCCCTTTCACATCGATGTTTCTCTCTCTCTGTCTCTTCCTCTCTCTCCCTCCCACTCTATCTGTACAAAAAATGGAAAAATGTCCTCGGGTGAGGATTAAAAAAAAAAAAAAAAAAAGAGTGGTTGCCACCCACATGACCCAACCAGAGCCAGGGACAAAGTGCAACCAAGGTACGTGCCCTTAGCGGAAACCGAACCCAGGCCTCTCTGGACAGCAGGCCGATGCTCTAACTGCTGAGCCAAAACAGCCAAGGCCATGTTATGTGTTTTATATACTATGTTCATACAATAAAGAATTTTCCTTATTATCTTAAAAACATTTTCTTAAGTTTTGAAAAAAATTTCCATATACATTTACTGTTATTGAAAAATAACCCATGTGTAAGTGGACCCATGAAGTTCAAATCTGTGTTGTTTGAGGGTCAACGGTGTACATACCTCACATTTGCAAATCACCTTTACCCCTTATAGACCAGTCCAAAGCCTGTCTTTGTAAATAAAGTTTCGCTGCCACGTGGCCATGCCCCTGCCCATGTGCTTATTTGCTGTCTAAGGTGCTTTTCTTAGAACGGCAGAGCTGAGTACCTCGTAACAAGACCACATGGTGTGCCATCTAAAATATTTGCTATCTACCATTTTACAGTGAAAGCGTGCAGGCGCTGCCCTTGGACGCTTGATGTTTATGTTTTTACCACTGATTAAACCACTGCTCCTTGAAGAATGGGGTGGTACTTTGCATGTTTTTATACATGTTACTCAGTACTTAACTTAATGACATATTATTGTTCTGAAAAATAAGAAGCACTGGCACTTCAAAAAACTCAGGGCAACACAGCAAGTAATGATGAAAAATAAAACCCATTAGCCACAATAATTGATATCAGTGTATAACTACTCTTAGTATAAAGAACTCCCACCCCACCCCCAACCGGATAGCTCAGTTGGCTCAAGTGTCGTCCTGATACACCAAGTTTTTGGGTTGGATCCCCAGTCAGGGCACATACAAGAAGCAACCAATGACATAAATAAGTGAAACAACAAATCAATGCCCCCACCAATCCATTAATAAAACTATGAAAAAAAATTTCAAACAGGGAAATGCTTAATAGCAAATGACACCTTCCATTTGTCTATACATTCTGAATTTGCTTAACAATTCTAAACGTCTCACTGATAGATTATTGCCTCATCTAGATTACAGGCCCCCAAACACAGGAAGCGTGTGCAGATACACTTAACCTTTAACTGTGGCAAAACACACATCACATAACACTGGGGAGCACGCTATTCTGCAGCACCTAGCCAAGCATCTGGCAAAGAGTAAAGAAATATTTGCTGAATATCAATAAATATTTTTTGAATAAACTACAACAGATATTTGTCCAGAACGCAGTTTAAAGCATCCCTATTTGAGAGATTAAAAAATGGCATAAAAGAAAAAGACAAACTGCCAAAGGCCGTACGACCAGAGGTGAGGCAGAGGCAGGGCTTCAGCTCCAGCCTCACATCCTAGGGCTCTGGTGCTCTTTCCACTCGATCAACATTCTTATTTTGAGTACTTTCACTATATTTAAAGGTCAAAGTGTTGATAAAATATAAACATAAATGTATTCACAGCTATACGAGCTGTCCGAAAAACAAGATAAATGCAGGATATCTGATAGTCCCTTTTTTGATTCTTGTAAATTAACAAATTTAATATTCATCTAGAAAAAGTAGAAGTTTATTTCTACAGCAGCATTTTAAAAAACAGATCTTGAAGTATTCTAAATCTTGATCTGGGTGAACATGTAAATGCAAATAATATATTTACGATTTATTTATCTGTGTGTATACCTCAATATTTTTTTTAAATTCTGGGTTCTTCTCTCTATCCAAAAGATAATCTCACACCAAAACTAAGATTATATTTCTAGTTTAAAGACGGAAGGATACCGAATACATCTGCTTTGCCTAGTCTGTCTACCTGCCACCTGCCTCCCCAGGGTTTTTCTTCATGTATTGAAAACACAACAAAATTCAGACTAATTTCTGGCAAAAAAATTTAAAAGGCCACAATAAACAATTTCTAGACCATGGATGGTTTCATAATATCCATTTTCATATGCTATGTGTAATTCACTCCTGTATGCTAAACTATTCAGAAAACACACAACCCCAAACCGGCCGAGAAGCCGGACAAGGCCGAGTGCCAGAGCCCGTCCTCCGCAGGCTCGGACAGGAGCCTGATTTCAGGGCTCCCTCCCGACTTCAGAACTTCTAGAAGTGGTCGCAGGGTGACCTAGGCTACGTGACCGGCTCCTGTGGCATAGTATGAGACGAAAAAGCAGAGCAGCACTAGTGGAGAAGGCAAGGGGTAAAGGAAATAGAAAACACTTACCAGTGCAAACAAGATTGCGGCATAAGCCATTTCGGAAGTCATGAAAGACACGATTCCGATGTTCCTAGGAACAAAGCAATGCACTTAATTTGATTAAAGCTCCTCCACGTAGCCCCAAACTTCCCACTATTTCTCCTATACAAAATTTGTTTATACAAATGAGGCAAATCAATATACATATATTAAAAAGTTAATAAAACATTATACATTAGTTTCCCATGGGAATTAATAAGGAACTAATACATATCTATATGTAGTATTTATTTTAACTCAAAGGATTTATATTTTTTGCTGGAATGGATTTCAAGTGACAATTTTCACCATGTTTCTGTAATACACTTTAAGAATGTTTCAAACAGAAGATGCCAAAAGTTTGGCTTGACCAAAACATCTACTATTTACCGTTTCAGTAATTATATACAAAAGCTAAAAATAGCTACTTTCCAATTAAAAAACAAAAATAAAAACATACACAATGACTGTAGGAAAAGTGATAAATCTAGCATCTGGCAAACTGGCTTATATTTTCAGCACAACATTCTTCTATTTAAAAATACTGTCATCGCCCTGGCCGGTTTGGCTCAGCGGTTAGAGCGTCGGCCTGTGGTCCGGAGAGACCCGGGTTCGGTTCCCGCTAAGGGCACGTACCTTGGTTGCAGTTTGTCCCCGGCCCTGGTTGGGTCGTGTGGGTGGCAACCACTCGATGTGTCGCTTGCACGTCGATGTTTCTCTCTCTCTCTCTCCCACTCACTCTATCTGAACAAAATATCGAAAAAATGTCCTCGGGTGAGGACAAAAAAAAAAAAAATAAATAAAAATACTGTCATCAACTTAATACCATTCATTTCCTGTGATAATTTCTAATCGCTAGGTGCCTACATGGTGGTATCTGATCCATGACATTAAGCTTTTTTGAAAACCAAATGTGAGTTGACTAATTTAAGTTCTTAACTTGACAAGTCTACAGAAATGTTTTCTTTTCATGAAAGTTCAATTATAGTTAGTACACATACAAAAAATGTCATTAGAGTTTTAAATTCATTTTCTGTTAAATCAAGTTCAGAAATTGAGAGATTCCATCCTTTTCTTTATTCCTCAACCGAGGATATTTTTCTATTTATCATTAGATAAGAGTGGGAGGGAGGGAGGGAGGGAGAGACAGAGAAAACCAGCGACGTGATAGAGACACATTGACTGGTTGCCTCCCGCATGACCCAACCAGGGCCGGGTACTAATCACAACCCAAGTAGGTGCCCTTGACCGGAATCGAACCCGAGACTCATTGGTCCGTGGGCCAACACGCTAACTACTGAGCCAAACCGGCCAGGGCTCCATCCTTTTCTTAAGGCAAATAGTAAAGGAAAAATATCTGGGTTGAGGAGGTACACAGACACATAAGAAACATGGAGTAGTGCTGTCCAGCAGAACCTTCCACAAGAACAGAAACGTTCTGTATCTGTATAGTCCAGTCTAAAGCTGCAGCTGCTGGTGACACATGACGCAGCACTGAAATACGGGCAGTATGACTGAGCAACTATATTTTAAATTTTATTTTATTTTAACTCATATAAACTGCCACATATAGCTTGAGATTATTGTATTACATGGTGCAAATCTAGAGATTACCCGGGGAAGGAAAACAATCAAGTTTCACTTTTGTATCACACTTGACAGCTGACCAACGCTTGTACGTTATCTCCATCTTCTTTGTGAGATAAGAGCATGTATTATTACTCCCTACTACTTCACAGTTAGAGAACTAAACCTCCGAGAGGTTAAAATGAATAATAAGAGGAGCATTAAAACAAAATCCAAGAAATACTTGGAAAGATTTTTTAAAAATTGGTACAAATTCTAGTTTCACACTTACCTGCCTCATTTTAGCATGGATATAGAAGCAAGAATAACCCAGTTGAGAAATCTTCTTGGCTAGCAATTCAACTCGCTGAGAGGAGTTACAGAAAATGATTGACTGGTTTATCTGAAGCTGAGAACAGGAGGAAAAGAAAGACACAGGGGAAAAAAAAAATTTACTTTGCATGTCTTGAAAATATTGACTGGCCAACAAATGTTAAAACCATGGTCTCTGATTTCATCTTACAGCACAAAGATGCAAAACTGTAACAATTGTAAATACTATCCGTTTACTTAATATATGCAGATAATTTGTAAGTTCTATTGTAGAACAGTGTATTTCATAAGGGCACACGACTGGCAGCAGAGTGAATCACAGCCAGTTCTCATCATTCGCGATAGTTACAGTCTATTGAGTTGCTGCAAACGCTGCATTAAGAGAATACAGAACCACTGCTCCTGGTAGAAATGCAGGATGGTTCCTGGGCGCCTCTGGCTTTATATATATATATATATATATATTTTTAATTGACTTTAGAGAGGAAAGGGAAGAGAGAGAAACGATGATCTGAGAGAGAAACATTGATCAGCTGCCTCCTGCGCATGTGCCCTGACTGGGAATCAAACCCGCCACCTTCTGGTGCATGGGCTGGTCTTAAGTTTTTCATCAATGAAATCAACAGACAACTGTGTTTTGTGTGTGTTACCCTCTAAGGACACCTTATTTACTCATGGCCAACAACATCGTAACTCATGCCTGTATAAAGTTTATCTAATATCCATTTTCTCTACAAGGTACCTCAGTTTCTTGTACTTGGGTACACTAGCCAGCACTTAGCACTATGCTCAGGGGACCTTTTAAACAATGAGATAAACAAAAAAAAGCACAAAAATGCAAAAAAAAAATTAAACAGGTCATAAAAAGAACATGGTATATGGTATGAAAGCTGAAACAAGAAGGAAGTATTGCTTTGTTCGACCTCAGCTGGGAATACGCGCAGCAGCTCAAGATGTTTGTGTTGTGCATGTCCAACGACCTCAAAAGCGCACCAGTACTGATTTTGTGGTTACAAATAAATTTTGGCAAGTAGGTGCATTTGCAAATGCAGAATCTGCAGATAATGAGGGCTGACTACAATTACTGCAAATAACGAGGAGCAACTGTAATTGAGGTCAAACTCTTTTAGAATTAAATTGAAAGTGCCTAAGACTTGTCGATTATATCCTATCAACTTCAGATAAACTGAAACTGCCTTTTAGGAAAAGCTAAGGAGTTTTCTTTCAGCATGTGAAGTGGAGGGGAAACCGCTCCGACGGTGTCTCGTTGGGGCTCAGGAATGGCGGTGCTCAGCAGCTGACAGCGTGAACTCACCCTGGAGAACAGCGTGTTGAGGCAGTGTACTTTTTGGCGCTCAGTTACATATGCGTAGTACTGAGTTACTCCCTTCAAAGTCAGTTCCTCCATCAGGTTAATCTCATAAGGTTTCTGCAAATGGGAATTCTAAAAAAAAAAAAAAAGAAGAGTCTTACTCTTAAGTGAAAGCAGAATGTATCTCAAATTCAAAACATATCCTAGACACCTGTCTGATAAACTCTTTAAGTATGGAGCTCTCTTCAAAACAAGTATACATGACCTGTCATGGAAGAAACAAATCACAATAAAACGGGAGATCTAACACTCAGGTATGCAGCTAAGTCACTATCTTGTATTTTGTATGTAGGGTTATGCTGTGATCAGTTTATCTAGCATCAATGGCTATGTCGGCCTGACAACAAAAATTAAGTGAACAACGAAGAATGTAATCAAATTACTATAACAGCTTGTTTTAAAAATCAGTTAATTTACGCACAACAAATGTTAACTGATCATCTGACCAAAAAAAACAAGCCAAAAACTTTAACTAACCAGCCCTAAGTATAGACTGATAATAAGATATAATTATGGATAAAGATACACTCATGGGCAACAGAATGGCACTGCTTCCAAGTGCATCGTTCTATACTCACCATGAACTTCTGTACACTGAGAGGGAAAGTAGCGGAATATAATAAAATCTGTCTGTTTTTAGGTAGCGTGAGAATAATATCTTCCATTATCTGCACAAAATCCTGTGACAGCAACTTATCTGCCTGCAGTACAAAAAGAAGACAACTTTCAAAACAATCAAATAATGTCAAGGTCTCTGGTTAATAAGGCATCAACCAAAAAGAGCATCCATGAATGTCCCACACAATCTGACAGCGCCAGGACTCGTGCCCGTGACACAGAAGGAAAAGGTCTATAGTGCCCGCCTTTGGGGAGCAGGGGAGGAGTCTAGACAAACAGAACCCTTGTTCCCATAACAGAATTTTAATGTGACTTCCGTTAAAGAGGCAGTATGGTTTACTGGTTAAAAATATAGGTCTAGAGTCAAGTTACCTGGATCGAAATCTTGTTTCCTTCACTTATTAACTATTTTGGGCGGCTGCTTAACTAATCAATACTTTAGATCCCACAATGTTAAAATTAGGATGTGCACTCACTGTAGTAACTACTTTATAGGATGCCTATCTTACAGGGTTGTTATAAAAATCAGATTTAAAAACATGTAAAGCACTCAGGGTTCGCACAGAGTGAAATAATAAATGTTCTCTCATTCCTCAAAGGAAAAACCTGATCTGAACCAGACCATGATTGCCCTGATCTAGCTGTCTAAAATGTAGAATAACTAAAATAACTTTATTTCAAAATATTAACAGTAATATAATGTCTGTCTGTCTGTATGTATAAAACACTACTAGAGCCCAAGGATAGAGTTAATGGAAGTTCTTAAAAAGCACTTAATACCTAGTGAGATAATGCATGTAACAGAGACCCCAAAACCCCAAACAATACCAAGTATTATATGCTAAATGAGGAGTTGGAGACATTACATGCCTTTTAAGATGTTATCAGTGAATGGAAAAAGAGTTAGAATGAACTTGGTTTGAGGTTATTCAACAACTTCTCATCCTGAAAATAAAAATAAAACCCAAACTATCTGGCATCCCTAAGAAGGGCTTAAGGCTGAACTATTCTTATCATCTATTGCCTTTAAAGGGCAAAACATGTTTTATAAGCAAATTAGTTTGAACTGACAAAAGTCGTATTATTAGAAGGTCATAAAACACAAAGAACCTTTGCTTTAATCACCGACAGTTATAAACAAAGTTCAGAATAATACGGAATAGCATCTTTCCAAATGAAGAGACATTACCTCATCCAATACTATCATCTGGACATGATCAACCTTTGCTACTCCTTTCTTGATAAGATCCAGGATTCTCCCAGGAGTAGCTATTACCACGTGCACTGCACAAGATTAGAAAACACAGTCTCATTAATTTTAGCTTTGGCAAAAAGGATGCAGTAAAGGTTTGTATACATATATAAACCTTCTAAAAGATACATTTTTTTTTTTTATCAGAAATGTTGAAGAGGAGGAATTCAGTAGTCCCTCCTTATCCAGTTTCACTTTCCATGGTCAAATGAAATCTGAAAATATTAAATGGAAAATTCCAGAAATAAACAGTTCATAAGCTTTAAATGTCGAGCCATTTGTCCATTTGTGCTCAGTCCTGCCAAGAATGTAAATAGCTGCTAACTACCTATTAAGTCACTTAGTAGCTGTCTAGGTCGTCAGATTGTTGTACCCCAGTGCCTGTGTTCAAGTGCATTTATTTACTTAATTAAACGGCCCAGAGTACAAGAGCGGTGATGCTAGCAACTTGCGTGTGCCAAAGAGAAGCTGGAACATACTTCCTTTTAGCAAAAAGGTGAAAGTTCTCGATATAAGAAAAACAAATTGTACGCAAAGTTTGCTAAGATCTACGATGAGAATCGACCTTTTATCTCTGAAATTGAAGAAAAAGAAATGTGTGCTAGTGCTGCTGTCGCATCACAAACTGTGAAGGTTACGGCCACAGTTCATGCAAGTGCTTAGTTAGGACGAAAGGGCATTAAATATATGGGTGGTAGATGTGGGGAGAGGCCAAATTCACATAACTTTAATAGTGTATTGCTGTAATTCTTCCATTTTATTATTACTTACTGTTGTTAATCTCTTACCATGCCCAATTTATAAATTAACCTTTATCCTAGGTACACATACCCACATACACAGGAAAAAACGTAGTATATATAGGGTTTGGTACTATCCTAAGTTTCAGGCATCCAGGGTGGGTGGTGCCTGAAAACAAATCCCTCGAAGGCTAAGGGGGAAACTACAGTGATACAAGACGCAAAGATATATTTTAGGATATGGATTTCCATTTCATCTTGGTTTGGCTAAGAGAATACCTGTTTGCTTCATCTCTACATGGGGTGGGCTACAGGTTCCCAAATCACCTGCTCCAAGTAAGGGACATATTTCCTTGTCTTAAAATAATCCTTAATGAGTAACAAAAGGCACACCAAGCTTCTAATATAGTAGACTGCCTTCTCAACAGAAGATTGTTATAAAGAGCAAATGAGATAATCATTTTAAATAACTGTGCAGTATAAGAATATAGTAATTATCGACTACAATTCTATGTATAATTTTATATATAAGTGGCTCTTACTTTTTTTTTTTTGGTATGTGCCCCTAGCGGGAACCAAACCCAGGACTCTCTGGTCCGCAGGCTGACGTTCCAACCGCTGAGCCAAACCAGCCAGGGTTAAGTGGGTCTTATTCTTGTGGTTTTATCTTTTTTCACATAATAATTTATCACGGAGAACTCTTCATAAAATGAATACAGATCGGCGTCATTCTTCAATGGCTGTGTGGAATTATATTTAGGCTATCTTCCAATGTTTAAGTTGTTTCAATTTTTTCAATACTACGAAACCACACTGTAGTTAACAACCTTGCATTTGCTGAATTATTTCCTCAGGGAAGATTCTTGAAAATATACCAACTTGCCCACCATAGAGACGGCATCAATTTATACTCCTATGTTGCAAAATCGCTTATTTCACCACAAACTCACATAATTGGTTACCAATGCTGTTTGGCCTTGCCAATCAGAAATGTACAATACCAATTTGCGGTTCTATTTACATTTAAAAAACTAAGGTTGAATATCATTTCAATTACTGTCAATTTGTCTTTTTTCCTGGATGAGTGTCATTTCCTTTATTCATTTTTCTTCTGCAATGTTTCTGTTCCTTATTAATTATTTTTTTAAATTGATTTTTAGAGACAGGAAGGAAGGGAGAAACTTACTGGTTTCCTGTACACATCCCCAGTGGGGATCAAACCCACAACCCTTTGGTGCACAGAACAACACTTCAATCAACGGAACACCCCACCCCCACCCCGGCCCTTATTAATTCTTAAAAACAATTTGTACAAAGTTACGGAAAGGAAACATATGTGTGTGAAGTCAGTCAGAGCTAGGTCACCTGTATCAGCTACTTCCTACCTGTATCGTCGAGCCTCATTATGTCATCCCGTAAATTGGTTCCTCCTGTGGTTGCCATCACTTTGGCCCCTCCCATGTGTTTGCTGACCTGGATGCAAATTTGACTGACCTGCAGAGCAAGTTCTCTTGTGGGAACAATCACCATTGCTGGAAAATATCAAGCAACAGAGAAAATACCAAAAAAGTTACATAATGTTTTAAGAATTTGAAGAGCTAAGAAATACTGCCTCTTGCAATCTGGAGACTCAGACATATTAAAAAGTTAAATCCTAATAGGCCTAACCAATTCTGAAAAGTAAAATGAGTAAATTGCCTTTACAAAACAAAAGTACTGTAATTTTGCAGATATAAACATTTCCTCATCAATGTTACTATATAAGTCTTATTCTGTTCTTGGTTACAAACCTTTAAGCAGTGGTTCTCAACCTTCCTAATGCTGCGACCCTTTAATACAGTTCCTCATGTTGTATGTGGGCGTGTCTGCACGTGGGCAAACCCGCCTGGAGACAGTGTCTCAGTTCCTAAGACCATCGGAAATACATGTTTTAGATCATCTTAGGCGACCCCCAAAGGGGTTGCAGCCCACAGGTTGAGAGTGGCTGCTTTAAAGGGCTCTAAGAGCCGGCAACCTGCTCAAACCTTCTTCCTTCATCACTGCAGTGAGAGACTCACGAGTCTGAGACACCCCAACAGGACACCCCCGCTGCCCACTTTCCTCTTATCACATGAAAGTAGGTAAAGGGAAGATGGGAGAAAACGATCATTATAGATCACGAAAGCAGAACGTTTTTTCTTGTTAATCCTCACCAGAGTATAATTTTCCCCCCATTGGATTGGGGGGCGGGGGATAATATCAATGAGAGAGAGAGAGAGAGAGAGACATCAATTGGTTGCCTCCCGCATGACCCAACCAGGCTGGGAACGAATCTGCAACCCAGGTACATGCCCTTCACTGAGAATTGAACTCATGACCCTTCAATACTTCAATACACAGGCCGACTCTCTAACTGAGCTACAACCAGCCAGCCAGGGCCCAAAGCTGAAAATTTACAAAAATGCTTTAAAAGTGAAAACTTAACTATATTTAGCTTACTCTGGGGACAAGTATAAGAATTTGTTTCTTCCCTACTGCCTAAGCTCTTAAGTTCAAAACAACACAGCTTTAAAGAAAAAAGGTTCTCTGAGAAGCTTGCAGACACACAGCCACATAAACAGTTCAGTTCCACGGTTTTGTTTTTCTATTTTTGTCATTAGATTCCACATACAAGTGAAATCACAGTTCTACTTTTTAAGTAGTAATACCAGACAATTTAACTTTTCATGACCTTAGTTTTCCTATCTGTAAGGCAACACCCTTACTTTGCCTATCTCACTAGAACGTTGTCAAAACTGTGTATATATAAAAACATTTTGAAAACTACAAATCTCTTTAAAGACCCGTGAAAACAGTAAATAATTCCAAATTATGTAAATTCTAATTTAAAAAGTATCTTCTACATAGAAGATAATTTTAGATATTTTAAATTCTCATTGATTTTCAGAGAGGAAGGGAAGGAGAAACAGCATCGGTTGGCCGCCTCCTGCACGCTCCCACGGGTGACTGAACTCAGCCCCAACCTGGGCATGCGCCCTGACTGAGAACCAGCCTGAGCCCTTTGACTGCACAAGATGACGCCCAACCAACCGAGCCACAGTAGCCAGGGCTGTAAACCGCCGCTCTCAGTCTAAACAAACTGACCCTGTATGTTGTCCTTCTTCAGGTCGAGCCGTTCAAGTAGGGGGATGAGGTAGGCGCCACTCTTGCCCGTTCCGTTCTTCGCTCTGGCCAGTATGTCCCTGCCAGACAGAGCGATGGGAATGCTCTCCTCCTGAAAGAGACGGGCCATGCAAGTTACTTGTGAATGGAGACAGCGCAGAAGCAAATTCTTTAAAATACGCTGAAGATATACGTGTACCTCTTTGGTACTGCTTTAAAGTGTCTTATGTATTTGCATTTTACAAGAGTAAGTAGAGACCGAGTATATTAGCGAGACCGGTCAACATCATCACCAACCAATATTTACCCAAACTGCTCACAGAATGAATACACATTAAATTGTATCCCAATGTAATAAAAACTGTACATGTAAGTACTGACCAAGGAAGCAGAACATCGACAACAAAGAGAATGACGAAGAAAGGAGGAGATTGGGATGACACATAAATAGAGAAAGCAGAGGGCAGTTCACCAAAACTGGAGGAAAACATGATGCAAGAAAATACAAGGCAAAGGCTATATATGATATTTTAAGACTAATGAGCCAATTTTACAATGAAAAATTGTAGCTTGGACAACTTATCCCTGCACAAAGCAGGAATAGGATGGAAAGGTTTAAACTCAGGTTGTATTTGGTATTTATATATCAAATTATATCCATAACCTATAACATCTGTCTCACAGCCAACTTCTCTGTCCTGAAATGTGCTTAAACTGAGTCAATTCTATTCGAGTTACTGTAACTCATGGTCACATCACCAAGGATTACTCTTTCATATTGAAATTATTGTCATGTGTGTTTTTTGGAAGACAACAATATTTCCTATTAACTTAAAACAAATTTCCCAAATAGCAAACAATTACTGAAAAATTAAATATACAAATATAGAAACTAAAAAGGCAGAACAAGTATATAAACAGAGAGGAAGAACATTCCTGTTCCTCAAATAAAAATTTTAATTTTAATTTCTGAAACTAAAGTTAGAAAAATAAATTAGGAAAGATATTCATAATCATTGTAATAATTAGTTCTTTCTGTACCTAAGCTAACAACCAAAAGAAATCTCTCTAGCACTTTAAAATTTTTATTGTACAGCCCGACCGGTGTGGGTCAGTGGTTGAGAGTCGATCCTGCACCAAGTGGTCACCGGTTCGATTCCCAGCCAGGGCACATGCCCAGGTTGTGGGCCAAATCCTCAGTGGGGGGGGGGCGTGCAGGAGGCGGCCAATCGATGTTCTCTCTCATCAATGTTTCCATGTCTCTCCCCCCACTTTCTCTCTCTATAAATAAAAATAATTTTTTTATTGTAGGAGTATCTTGTCATAAGCATAATGACTTCTATTTCCCACCACAACATTCATTCTACCGAGAACCCCAATCACAGGGGTCAGTTGGGTTCCACATGGTCAGAACAAAACAGCTGCCAGAATTGTAAAAATGGTCCAGTGAAAAGGCTGCTATCTTGTCCTTACAACCAGCATTAAACAGTCTGCTTATGATGGTGAAGCAGGTCAAAGAAGAAAACCTTGGCTTGACCATTACAATCTCCTCCCTCCTACTGTGATTCAGTTCCATCCACCTTCAGGTAGGTGCTCTGGAGACCCACTGCCATCTTGCCCCATTGGATCCTTCTCTTCTATGTCTTCTTTTTATTGACTGATTATTTTAGAGAGAGAAGGGGAGATAGAGAAACACTGATTTGTTGTTCCACTTATTTATGCATTCACTGGTTAATTCTTTTTTTTTTTTAATCCTCATCTGAGGACATTTTTCCATTTTTTGTACAGACAGAGTGGGAGGGAGAGAGGGGAAGAGAGAGAGAGGGAAACATCGATGTGAAAGGGACACATCGAGTGGCTGCCACCCGCACGACCAACCAGGGCTGGGGACAAACTGCAACCGAGGTATATGCCCTTAGCGGGAACCGAACCCGGGTCTCTCCGGACCGCAGGCTGATGCTCTAACCGCTGAGCCAAACCGGCCAGGGCTCACTGGTTAATTCTTGTATGTGCCCCAACCTTGGCGTATTGGGACAATACTCTAACCAATTCAACTGCCCAGCCAGGGCCTCTTTCTATGGTTTTTTTAAATAGGCTACCTGCATGCTACTCAGTTCTATAGAAAAGCAAGAGAGAAAAAAAGGGGGTGGGGGCTAGGTCTCCTAGGATCTTCCAATAATTTTCTGAGCCAGATCCTTTAAAACTATAAAAATTTTCTATGAAGTCAGGTGGGGTAGAATTAAATTGGGGGTATCCTAATTCACATTTTGGGACTGTCTTCTGATTTAGATTGAGGCCACTGACTTCTGAATTCCTCTGCTCTGACAGGGCTGTGCCCTATACAAACTGTTTGAGGATAGGGCTCTAACAAAGTAAGCTAGTCTGTAAGTGAAGATGCACCCATCCTTCACCCTGTGTGACGGCCATGACGACCGGCACCCCCACACTGTCCTGCACCCCTGTCCCTGGGAAGATGAGGTAACACGAAGCAAGAAAAGTCAAGTCAGGCTCAGACAGCGTTGGAATCCGAGAGGAAACAATGGGAAGCTGCCAAGGAGATGAGAAGGAGAAAAGGAAGCTAAATATTCTTGAAACACTGTGTGCTAGGCGGGCACTCTGCTAGGTAGATATGTTATTTATATCGTTTCAAGTTAGGTACTTTTTGTTTTACAACTGACAAAAATGGATCCTCAGAGATTAACTGTTTTGCCCAAGATCACAAAGCAAGAAATGCTAGAACCAGGACTTTAATTTAGGTCTGCAAATAACATGTAAGTGAGGATGTGGAGAAATCAAAACCCTCATACACAGCTGGTGGGAATGTACAGCCACTTTGGAAAACAGTCTGGCAGCTCCTCCAAAGGTTCAACAGCGTTAGCATATGAACTCGCAACTCCACTCCAGATATATCTGCCCCAAAGAGAAAACATCTCCACAAAACACTTCCACATTGATGATGTTCATAGCAACATATTCATAATAGCTCGGCCATACAATTGGGATATTATTCAACAACAGAAAGGAATGAAGTATTGATACTCATACAACATGGATGACCCCTAAAAATATATGCTAAATCAAAAGAGTTAGATGACTTAAGAAACCATACATTGTATAATTCCTTTTATATGAAATGTCCAGAATAGGTAAATCCATAGAAACAGAAAGCAGAATCGTGAATGATTAGGGCGAGGGGAAAATGAGAAGTGACTGAAAGTTTCTCTTTAGGGTGATGAAAATGTTCTCAAATGTATTGTAGTATTGGCTGTACAACTGTGCATATACTACAACAAACCACTGAACGGTATACTGTAAATGTGTGAATTGCATATACACAAGTTGTATCTTCATTTAGCCCACAGCCCCACACCCTCAGGTCCGAGCTGGCAGAAGCACATGCCACCTCAGCTCTCCCAGCCCATGTGCCACTGTAAGGTCCGAGGGACCGATCCCATATGTGTTTGATATATTTTGGTTACTGGAGTATCCATTTCCCTTTCTTAGTAGCACCCCAACTTCCTTCTGAGGAATTAAATCTCCCTCACTCCAATGTATAGCCAACCTCCTTAGCCAAATTGCTATTAGACACTGGTATTATTGTGTTTTCCACAAATTCTCAGGCAAAATAATAGTAAAGAAAAAGGCAATGTGAATGGTAGTCTCAATTTTAAAGTTTAACACAAAGGTAAGAAACAGAAGCCAGCAAGGGTCTGCTAAATTCATCAATAAATAAAACCATTATATGGAATAATAACCCCTAACATTTCTTAAGCATTTATAATGTACTAGGCACTGTATTAAACATACCAACATTAATCACTTCACTTAATCTTCATAACAGCCCTATGGTATATGCTATATCAATTGTATATGCCAGCAAACCAAGGCTTAGAAAGGTATTTCAAATACTCAACTGAGAAAGCAGCGGAGGTGGGACTTAACCTGAGCAGTCTGCATGCAAACCCAGCGTTCTTCAACAGTTCTCTAGACCAAGCTCGCTTGCTGACATCTGCTAACCGTAATTCCATCACAACTTTCTAAATGCAACCGAGTATTTGAGGGCCTGTTTCCTACCATGAACCTTGCTAAGTACCAGAGATACAAGGTTGAATGACAGATTCTACAGGAGATCTCTCATAACACTTTCCATTCCTACGAATAAAATAAATTAACATGAACTACATTACAGAAAAATACTTTCTGAGTATTTTTAATACCTACATTCACATTGCCTACCTGCTCATGTATAACTTCATCTTTTCTTTTTTGTTTCTTTATTGATTTTTTTAGAGACAGAGGGAGGAAGAGGGAGAAATAGAAACATCAATGAGAGAGAACATCGACTGGCTGCCTCCTGCAGGCCCCCCATGGGGGATCAGGCCCACAACCTGGGCATGTGCCCTGACCGGGAATCGAACTGGTGACCTCTTGGTGCAGGGTCGATGCTCACCCACTGAGCCACACCGGCCGGGCTATAACTTCATCTTGATGCTTTCTCCAACTGCAATAAGCTTCTTTCAGTTTGCCCACAAGGCACACCTTCACCCCTAGGCAATCACTATCCTAGTGTTCTGTGCTTACAACATGGATCAATTCTTTTTCCAGGCTGTTCCATCTTTCTTTCTCTGTACCACAGGCCGACGCTCTAACCGCTGAGCCAAACCGGCCAGGGCTGTTCCATCTTTCTTTAATGCTACATATATATGTGCAATGTCAAGTATGAAGTAATATTACGCTGAAATTATCTGTACAAGTAGCTGTCCTTCCTACCAGTCTTCCACCGTCTCTGCCTTGTTCATCACAACATCCCGTGTCCAACACTTTCTAGGTCCCTCAATGCTTGCTCAACGAAAAAGTGCTTTTTCCTTAATTAAGCCTGGATGCAACAGTTTTAACTCACATGACGACAACAGACACCTTTACCAAATCGGTCTATGCGCACTGCGTGTTCATGTGTACATGTATGAACGCATGTGTGTACATACATACTGCACATCCCCTTGCTCTTTCCTCCAAAGGGCCAAGGAGCGAAGAGTGCACCTAGTGCTCAGGGCCTGGCCTCTAACCCACTCCCCACTGATTGGAAGCAGGGGTGCTTAAAGAAATGGCTGATTCCAGGGTTGGGGCAGGGTAGGTACAGGTAAGTGTGGTCTCATGACATGCCAAAAAGGCCAAAAAGGAAGTGCTTAAGAAAAATAAGGGTCCTAGCACGTTTGGCTCAGCGGTTTGAGCGTCGGCTGCGGACCGAAGGGTGGAGGGTTTGATTCCCAGGCAAGGGCCCATACCCAGGTTGCAGGTTCAATCCTGGCCCCAGTGGGGTCATGCAGGAGGCAGCCAATCAATATGTCTCTGTCAGATTGATGTTCCTCTTTTTCTCCCCCCCTTCCCTCTATATTAATAAAAAAAAAAAAGGAAAAATATCCCTGGATGAGGATTAACCAAAAATAAATAAAACCATTAATTGAAAAAAAAAAATCTATCTGAAAGAAAGAGGGACACATTACAAACTATCTTAAAGGACTCACACTGCCCAAGTCTAAGAGTTTGACCACAAACACGTCATTGGAAAAAAGGGATCCATGACTCCACACTGATAACAGACACACAAGGAAATAAGGGAAGGCTCTTCTTTAAAGGCCAAAGGTGGGAGGAGTCCTCAGGTTGGAAATAAATCACAACCCAACAGAAACAGGATCATCAATGGATACTAAGACAAGAAGAAACTTTGATGAAGAGTAGGATCTCTGCATGATCTCAAAGTGATCCCTACAGTCTGCTTATTAGTTTCAAGGGAGGAAGGGGAAAAACTACAATTATACAGTAGAAAAATCAGACACCACCTTGACAGGGCAATCAAAATTAAAATCGCCATGAGAAATAAACAGACACTGTGTATACCTCCAAATGTGATGCCCCGAGAAAGCCATAACATGACTTCTACAGTATTTTGGCTAAGAACATATTAACTTGAATCATGTAGAAACATGAGACAAACCCAAATGAGGACTGTTCTACTTTAAAAAGGAAGGGGGATTTTTTAAAATATGTCAATGACGCCCTGGCCAGTTTAGCTCAGCGGTTGGAGCATCGGCTTGCGGATCAGAGTCCCGGGTTCTGTTCCCGCTAGGAGCACGTATCAAAAAAATAAAATATGTCAATGTCAAAAGACCAAAACAGACCAGGAAATGCTCATTATTAAAGGAGGTTAAAGATGCCCTGGCCAGTTTGGCTCAGCGGTTAGAGCGTCGGCCTGCGGTCCGGAGAGACCCGGGTTCAGTTCCCGCTAAGGGCACGTACTTCGGTTGCAGTTTGTCCCCGGCCCTGGTTGGTCGTGCGGGTGGCAGCCACTCGATGTGTCCCTTCACGTCGATGTTTCTCTCTCTCTCCCTTCCTCTCTCTCTCCCTCCCACTCTATCTGTACAAAAAAGAAAAAATATCCTCGGGTGAGGATAAAAAAAAAAAAAAAAAAAAAAAAAAAAAAAAAAAAAATAAAGGAGGTTAAAGAAACGTAACTACATGCAATACCCGATTCTGTACAAAAGAGGGAAAAAATGCTAAAAAGGGTATTTTAGGGTCAATTAAAAATTGAAATAGTTATTAGTGTTAATTTGACTACAGATAACTATATTATGGTTATATAACAGAAGATCTCTATTCTTAGGAAATACACTGAAATATTTAGAGGCCATGATTTTGTAACACGCTGAAAAGGTTCAGAAAGAGTGTATATATGTGACACATATATGTGAGCGTGTGTACACAAGAGAAACATTGATTCAGTTTATCATCCCACTGATAAAAAAGAAAAGTACATAACACTTCATTCATAATATTATACATGTGATAAAAAGGGGAAATATACCTGAATAGGAGATGGCTTTTCCCAGCCCATTTCAAAAATTCCCATCAGTAACTCCCGCTTTAAACAGTAATCTTCAAACTCATTTCCTTTTGTGGAGGTTACATCCTAGTCAACCAAACAGAACAAACAACAAAAGAATAAAGTACAACTGTGTTCCTTTGTTAGTTAACATGCTCTTTATCTACCCCATTTAAAATATAAACACCCACAGATGAGCTCTATCTTCATCTGCATTTCAGCTCTTCCTGAGAACGACCACTCTCACACATGCCATTACAAATGTGTTTGGAAGAAAGGCCACCCTGTGGCCATCTTCTTCCAAGGAACAGGTGGAATACTGTGAGAATCATGCTGTGATACGAAAATCACGAGATATGAAGTCAAACTCTAGTTCCACCACTTATTGTGTACAAATGTCCTAGTCAAAATCAGGGTTACTCAAGCTCAGCAATATTAACATTTGGGCCAGAAAATTCCCTGTGGTAAGGGGCTGTCTTATAGCATTTCCCCAGCTGTGATAACCAAAAACGTTTCCAGCTATTGCTGAATAACCCTTGGGGACAAAAATCACGTGGCTGAAAACACTGTGCAAGAGAACTAACCCATCAACTTCCATGTTCTCATCCACAAAATGAAGATAACACCTGCCTTCAATCTTACTAAACAAAAGAGAATATACCTGAAAACTATTATTCCATAAATTAGAAACGATATACATGCATATGAACAAAATATCAGAGCGTAGATACATATACTATTAATTCCTTCTAACAGTGAAAAATTTTGGCAATTCATACCATCTACACAATTTCAGCCATTTCAACTTACTTAAAAGTGAACACAGTGCCTATTATTAAGTAACTACTATACTTTTAGCGTTTCCACACCAATTTAAGTTAAATGTTTACCATCAACTTACCGAAGTTTTGATTCTTAGGTCCTTTGGAGGGAGTTTCAAAGCCTTTTTCCAGTCATCACCAGGTCTAGAGAAAACGTAGTAAATTCAAGTATCAGAATTCACAGTATCTCTATTCTAGGTACACAGTAATTCATTTCAACAATTACAGTTATAAAAATCATAGTAAGCTTAACATATTGCCATTTACTTAAGAATATAGTTAACAGCCCTGGCCAGTGTGGCTCAGTTGGTTGGAGAGTCGTCCTATCCATCAAAAGGTGGCAGGTTCAATACCTGATCAGGTGCATATGGGAGGCAACAGATTGATGTTTCTCTCTCCCTCTCTCCCTCCCTCCCTCTCTCTCTCTCTCTCTCTCTCTCTCTCTCTAGGATAAAAAAAAAATCAATTTTTATATACATATAAAGAATATAGCTAACAGAGATAAACAACTTTAGAAAAACTCCCTTCGTTCTGGCTGGTTTGATTCAGTGGTTAGAGCATCAGCCCCACGAGTCGGGCTCAATTCCAGTCAAAGGCACATACCTCGGCTTCAGTTCATCCCCGGCCCTAGTCCGGGAGGCAACCAGTTGATGCGTCTTTCTCACATCAATGTCCCTCCCACTCTATCTGATGATAAATGGAAAAATTTCCTTGTGTGAGGATTAAAAAAAAAGAAAAACTGCCCTTCTTATAAAGAACAACAATCTAAGGAGGATTAAAAAAAAAAAATCAAGAATAGAAGAGAATAAGGGAGTCATCTTAAGAAAAGCAGCATATTGTGACAATAGAGTAACTGTTGTCACAACTGGGAACCCATATGTTTTGTATGACCTACATATCATGTGTGTTTTAATTTAAATTAGTTACCAACATTTAAAAATGAGAAGATTTTGTATAAAAGTTCAGATTCTGGCTTTCCTGAAAAAACTGGAAGCTTTGGCGACACTGGTTCCAAAATTCTGCATAATAGTTTGATAGAGCTTAGGAATTGGAGTTTAAAATCAAGCAGCTGATCCCTTTAAAAATAAGGCAAACACCCCGGCCGATTGGGCTCAGCGGTTAGTGTCAGCCTGCGGTCCAGAGAGACCCGGGTTTGGTTCCTGCTAAGGGCATGTAACACAGTTGCAGTTTGCCCCTGGCCCTGGTTGGGTTGTGTGGGTAGCAGCCACTCCATGTGTCCTTTTCACGTCGATGTTTTTTTCTCTCTCTCCCCCCTACTCTTCTGAACAAAAAATGGAAAAATGTCCTCGGGTGAGGATAAAAATTAAATAAATGACTGAATAAATAAGGCAAGCAGCTCTCGGCTGGCACAGGCATCTGAGTCAGTAACTTCTGGTGACCAGTTAAAACGAAGGGCTCCAAAGTTTCTGACCTGATTTCAAGCCCTGACTATACACCACTTACTAATTTTGTGACCTTGCGGCAATTACTTTTCCAAGTTTCCATTCTCTCACATATAAAATGGGTTAAGAATTACATCAGACAATTTACATAAAGCATAGCACAGTGTCAGGCAAAGTAAGAATTCAATATTAGCTGTTAACGAACATCTCTCTTAACCTTTTTTTCTTTAATTGATTTTAGAGAGAGAGGAAGGGAGAAGGAGAGACAGAAACATCGATGAGAGAGAACATCAACTGGCCGCTTCCTGCATACCCCCCACTGGGGATTGGGCCTACAACCTGGGCATGTGCCCTGACCAGAAAATCGAACCAGGGATGCTTTAAACCATGAAAGAACTGAAAACAAAATGTAATTTTTAAAGTCCTTTTAGATCAGGCAAAAACCTCTACTATAATATCTAAAGCAACTAAGAGCAAAAAAAAAAAAGGACAACAGGGCAAATAATGCTTTTCAATTGTGTTGTCTTTAAAATAAGTACCTTTTGCCCTGGCCGGTTTGGCTCAGCAGTTAGAGCATCAGCCCATGGACCAGAGTCCCAGGTTCAGTTCCCGCTAAGGGAATGTACCTCGGTTGCAGTTTGTCTGTCCCCAGCTCCGGTTGGGGTCATGTGGGTGGCAACTACTTGATGTGTCTCTCTCACATCGATGTTTCTCTCCACCCCCACCCCCCTTCCTGCTCTATCTGAAGATAAATGCAAAAATGTCCTCGGGTGAGGATAAAAAAAAAGTGCTCAAGTGAGGATAAAAAAATAAGTTTTCATTGATTTCATTATAGCCATTCATAATCAGAGCCCCCAAAACAGTTCAAGTCTTGGTTTAGAAAGATGAACACTTATTTTACTTAAAGCTAAATCCCACATAATCCACAACATTAACACAGGTAACTAGTTGCTACCAATTCTAAGGGTATTAAAGCCTTCTACCTCAGCCTATATACCACAGCAAAGGTTCCGAGCAAAAAATGTCAGCTGAATATCCTAGTAGGCCAGTCTACATTGTCAAATTCAACAGTGAATAAAAATAGAGGCTACAATGAGAAAATCTGCCCACAAGGAATTTATAAACTAAACTACGTAAATGAGAAAATAAGAGATAGAGCTAAGTATTAGAAGATTTCTGAACAGTTGATGGGATCTAGAAACCTTCATGGAAGAGATGACACTTGAACTAAGACTGAAAGAAGCCAAAGAATTGAAAAGAGCCCTGGCCGGTTTGGCTCAGCGGTTAGAGCATCCACCTGCGGTCCGGAGAGACCCGGGTTCGGTTCCCGCTAGGGCATGTGTCTCGGTTGCAGTTTGTCCCCGACCCTGATTGGTCGTGCGGGTGCGGGTGGCCACTCGATGTGTCCCTTTCACATCGATGTTTCTCTCTCTCTCTCTCTCTCTCCTTCCCTCCCTCCCACTCTATCTGTGCAAAAAATGGAAAAATGTCCTCGGTTGAGGATAAAAAAAAAAAAAAAAGATTAAAAAAAAAAAAAGAATTGAAAAGAAATCATTAATCCTAAGAAAAGCAAAAAAGTAAAATCCACTGTTGTCTCAAATTAGAATTTAAGTCAAAAACACGCTTATAATGAAATAACACAGCTATTTGTTTCTATTTTTAAGGATTAAAAATAGCCTAAAGTTTGCTAGCCTATTCAGTTTGTCAAGGCAAACTACAATTTAGAAAACATTCTAATTAAAGCATTCACCTTAAAAATAAGAGTATGCATTAATGACAATTATCCCAGCGGTCAAACCAATTCTATTGGAAATTCTCATAGATCACCAGTGAACCACATAGCAGTAACCATCTATATGTCAGCTGGTAGCTTATAAAGGCTATTTTTCTTTACAAAGTGCTTGTTAAACATGGAAAGGATCTAGGTTGTAATACAAAATACTTCAGTTCATTACTTTAGAAAATTTCTAGAGGTTAAATCAGTTACATGGCTAGATTCTTAAAGCCAAACCTCAAATGGCTTGAGTCTTAAATGTTAATTTTCTATTAACTGAATCTTTGGAGTGATATTTACTATTCAAATAATTTATAATCAACACTTAAAAGATGGCAGCCTATAATCTTCCAGATTTAAAAGAAAACATATTCTGTAGTTAGATAAGGCTCTTAAGCTTTTAGTCAACAAGGGGGATTGCAACTATTCAGAGATGTGTTTCCAAGAGTTCAAAATCCTGAAACTCTATGATATTTAACTGCTTGTCATTTTGTGTGTGTGTGTAAGGAGAAAGCTTATTTTTTAAAGTTTATGCAAAGTTGCATACACTAAAACAAAAAAGTTATGGAGTAAAAGTTTATGCGAAGTTGCATAAACAAAAAGAAGTTCAGAAGTCTGGGCAAGTCCTTAAATTTAAAACCTGAAATTGACTTTGTCATTCAAACTAGGATTAGGGGCAGTCGTGGTACGAGGGACAAGCCACACTGACAAAAACAAGATGAACCAGCTAATTATGAAAGCCAGCAATGTTTCAAAAAAAAATCTACACAAATACATATCATCTGTAACCATATTCATTACTTAATAAACATGAATCAACTACGACAGCAATATGTTATTCTATTGCAAATACCTACTGGCCGTAAAACCAAGTCAACTGTCCTCTATTTACAATCAAAATGGTTCAAATATACAGAGTAGTCAGTAACAAAGTAATAAAAAGAAATATCCTCGCCTCCCCCCACTGCCCAGTATGTTATTTATTCTAACACTTACTTAATAGTGGTGGTCATACTCTGTGCTTGCTGCTGAGTGCCATTGTTGATTGTGTTGGTGTTTTTCAGCTGGTTCATCTGTTGCTGTGTCTGTGTGCCCCCTCCTCCGGGGCCACCACTGGGCTTTACAGGGCCCCTCAGCTGACCATTTTGACTGGACAGACCCATTATAACAGGGTTCTCTGTTCTGGCCGTGCTCATGCTGTATTAAATGTACAGATGTCTCTTCCAAACTTTAAAACTTTTGAAAGTCAGTAGAGAAACTGTAATACAGTTTATTAGGCTCTCCAAAACGAAGAGATAAATATGTCTTGCTCAATATTGAGTCCCTTATTGCAATGCAGGCAAGCAAGCGCCTGTAAGTCTCTGACCGGTGAGCAGCAGTAACTTGCTCTCATGCACCGAAGCAACTTTTTATTTTTAAAAGCTCTCTAAGGAGGTTGAGTTATATATATGGATTCTCTCACTTCAATCTGAAACAAAAAAAAAGTTAAGTTAGCAAACAAAGGAAGGTTAGGAAAAAAAACTTTGTTTCCCGTTTTTAAATTAAAGAAGGTGATTTCCTCTTTTAAATTAAAGAATTAAGAATACAGCTGCAGTTAGATTAAATCATGAGCCAGGCTAGGACACACAAAAAGACGAACTGCCCCCAAAACCAAACCCACAAGGAGACCAATTTCAAATGTTTTAAATTGTCAGTTCAAAGCAACCCAGAGATTAGGTAGAAAGATGTGATTAAATTAGCAATAGTTGTCAAATGACAATCTCCCCCTCAGTTTCCTCCCTGCTGAATTCTCTAAAAGTCAATGACTCATTATGCTTAATTGCATTACAACTCAAACAAGCATCTCACTACTACTTAACTAGAGTAAATCTACATATGCACAAGGAAAACCATTTTTTCCTAGTTCTGACAGCAACTGAGAATCTGAGAGTTACATAAGCTTGGCTTAATTTGATGCTTTTAGAAATACAAAGCCCATGTGTACCCTTGTGAATTTCAACGACAGAAGTTAAACTTTACGAAGAAAAACTCATTTTCTTTTTCCCCTGACATGTTCGTCCTTTACAACAACCACTGAGGCTACAGACAGGCCGGCTGTCAACTCTCTGGCCTGGAGACAGCCACGAGCCTCTTCAGCTACCTTCGCAGAATTTGGAAAAGAAAAAACTGTTCGCTGCGTTTCAATGTAACTTTTCGGAAAGGCTAACCTACCTTAAAAGAGTATTTCAAGAAATAATAAAAACAGAAAAGAAACGGCCTTGTCTAACAGAAACAAACCAAACAGCTGTTCAAGGCGGGCTGGACACACCGGTCACCTCATCCAACTCCCCAAGAAGCTCGGCACCGCTGACAGTTGTCTAAGCAGGACGGGCTCCCCCGGCTCTGATCACGCCCCCAGCCGAACCCCCGCGCGATCGCGCAGGAACAGGGCAGTTTGGGGCCGGGAGCACCCCGCGGCCTGCCCGCCCCGCTGCGGGCGGCGCCCCCGCCCAGGCCGGAGCAGCAGCGTCCGGGGCCCGGGTCTGGACGGCCGCGCACAAGAGGCGTTATTCGAAGGCCCCGAATCCGGGGAGCCCGCCGGCAGGGGGGCCCGCGCCCCCCAGGCCGGCCCGCGGGCCCCGGCAGCGACGGGTCGCACTGTGCCCCCAGCAGCAGTTCGCACCAGGAAACGCGCCCCACGTCCCGGGGCGACGCCGGGGCGACCCGAAGGCCGGCGCTGTCCCCGCGCCCCCCGCGCCCCAGGCCGCCCCCCGGGAGGCCGGAAGCTGCAGTGCGGCACCGTCTCGGCCCAGGCGCCTCCCCCGCTCCCGGGCCCGCGGCGGCCGAGCTGGGCCCCTGCACCCCGAGCGGCGGCCGCCCCGCCGCAGCGCCTGCCGGTGGGCCCGGGCCGAGCCCGTCGCTGTCAGGCGGAACCGGCACCTCCCGCCGGCCCCGGCCCCGGCCCCGCGCGCCCGGCCGCACACAAAGGCGGCGGCCTGCGATCCTATCTGCGCCACGCGAGCGCCGCCGGCGGCAGGCCCGGCAGGCCCGGCAGGCCCGGCGCGGAGGGCCCTCCCCGAGACGCCGCCTCCGGCCCGCCTCGCGCCCGGCGCCCCTCGCCGCCCACCGGCCGGCCTGGCCCCCGCCCGCCGCGCCCCGCTCAACCGGCCCCCGCGCCGCCCCGCACGGCGGCCTCGCAGCCGCCGCCCCGCAGCCCTCACGCCCGCCCGCCCAGCCCCGAACCCGGGCCCGCGGCCTCCGGGCCCGCCGCGCACGACACCCCACGGGCGTCCTCGGCCCTCAGGGCCGCGCCGCGGGGCCGCCGCCGGCCTCAGGCTCCTCCTCGGGGCGCCCGCCCGCCCGCCGGCCCCCGGCCCGCGACCCCGGCCGCCGCCGCGCCGCCCCCGCCGCCGAGCCTACCACCGAGGCGGCGCCGCTCGGCTCCTCGCTCCTTTATTGTCGATCCGAGGCGCCCAAGATGGCGGCTCCCTCCTCCGCCCGCCCCGCCCCGCCCGCGCCCCGCCCGCCGGCCCGCGGCCCCGCGGCCCCGCCGCCGGCCGCCCTACCTCCGCCGCCGCCCGCGCTCGTGGCGCCCCGAAGTCGCCGCCGGGCTCCCTCGGCTCCTCGGCCCCGCCCCGCCCGCGCCCCCGCCCCGCTCCCGGCCTCCCGCATGGCGGCGGCCGCGCTCCTCCCCCGCAAGATGGCGGCGCCCCGTCGTGGCCGGGCCGGGCCGGGCGGCGCCGCGGACTCGCCGGAGGCCGCGCTGGGAGCGGCGGGCGCGCGGCCCCCTCGGGCGCAGGACGCCCCTCGCCGCCGCCGGGGAAGGGGCCACGGGGCGCCGCCTTCGCCCCCGAGGAGGGGAGCCCGGGAGGGGCCGCCCCGTCCTGCCCGGGCCGCCCCGGGACGGCCTCGCCGCCAGGGCTCGGGGACGGCTGACCTGGCGGTGCCGCGGCCGGGACCGTGCGGACGCGGAGCTGCGGCGGAGACGCGGCGGGCGGGGGGAGGGGGCCGGAAGGGGGCCGGCGGGCGGGGCGGGGCCGCGACCCTCGGCCGGCGTCCTGGCGGCGGCCGCGGGGGCTGCGCGCGGCGTGGGGCGCCCCGGCCTGGCCCTCGCGGGGACGCCGTGCGCCCCGGCCGCTCGCCCTGCGCGGGCCCGACCGCTGTGGGGTTCGAGGCTCAACGGAAAGCCGAGGCCGGGGAGCCGCCGGGGGAGCGAAGAGGGGACCCCGGCCGCCTGGACCCCGGCCCGGCCCCGGCCCCGGAGGAAGGCAGAGGTGCGCCCCGAGGGGCCACGACGGCGCCCAGGGGCTCTGTCCGCGCCCCGCGGCGGCGGGGCCGGAGGAGGGTGCGGGGCCTCCCGGGACCGGCAGGGTCCGGCGCCCTGGCCGCTTCGCTGGGCGGTCAGGCGGCCCCGGGAGAAGGGTCTGGGGTTGCGCCCCGTCCAGGGCCGCTACCTGCTGGCAGGTCCGGGCGCCGGAGCAGCCAGCAGGGTCCCCGCCGCCTCCCTCCCACCGCGCCGGCCGGGCGGCCAGTGGCCGAGCGTGGCCCCTGCGCCGAGAGGTCACCGGTTCGAGGCCCCGTCCGGGCCCAGGCCGTGGGCCTGATCCGGGGGGATGGGGTGCAGGGGGGGCCGTGCTGTTCTCCCAGCCTTGTTTCTGCCCCTCTCTCTGTAAGCAATTTTTTTTTTTTTTTTTTTAATCATTGGAAAACATCCTGGGGTGAGGATTAACAACAACGGGAAAGGCCGATGATTCTCTTACAGTTTTTTAACTTCTTAGTTGGTAGCGTGTCCTCTCCCGCCCGTGTGCCAAGCGCTGGTGTCAGGGAAGAGCCCTGCGCGGGTGCCCAGCGGTCACTGGGTAAAGTGGGAGCCCGCGTCCGCCTCTGCCTTTCCGTGGAGCACGAACGTTCAGGGAGGGGGGCCCCGTCTGGTGGGGTCTCCCTCTAGACCACTGAAGGAAAGGGGTTTGCATTCACAGATGAACTCACCTTCTGGGGAAAAAAGGAGGCAAGCAGAGTAAAATGTGATGCAGCTGCCCAGCCTCACCTCGGAATCCTGCCAGGGCTAAAACTTGAGTCTGTAGTTTTTATAAGATAGGTATCCTCATGTCTTGTTTGATGTCAGCCTCTCAGTTTTCTGATGAGCATAGACGGGGTAGAATTAAGCTATGAACCCCTTGGGTCATGGGGGTTCAATTCAAGTCATTGATAGAGTAGATAGTAGTAAATACAGTAGATACTACTGTATCTTGATACTTTTTTTTATCTCCCTCGTTCAAACAGATTAAAAAGAATCTTAGAAAATAGGACACTTTGGGAATACAGATGAATGATTTTATAACGCACTCGGTATCCTTGGTACTGTAAAATGTATATTTAAAAAGTACATGAATCCGATGCTTTGGCCTTTTAGTTACTATTGACTGTAATTGGGTGGTCTGTGGTCAACACGGTTTCTGGGTGGTGTGCTGTGCCCAGCGAAGTTACGCGCTTATTGTAATAAAGTGCTTTCCAACAGGCATTGGCCCTTCTCGTTTGGTTTTGAGTCCCTCGCTTCCCTCCTGCCCTAAATCTGGAGCTTTCTCGAAGCTGTTAGCTCAAGCGTTAGGCCTGGATTGTTGGCTGGCTTCTAGACAATCTATCTGTAGAAAAGACGTTTAAAAAAAGAAAGGAATCTAATGAACAAAACAAACCAGTGAATAAAAGAGAACCAGAGGCAGGGAAACGTGGAACAGATTGATGAGTCTCAGAGGGAAGGGGGGGTGGAAGAGATTAACTAAAGAATTTATATGCATCTATGCATTGTCCATGGACACAGACAATAAGGTGGCGAAGGCCTGGGGCAGGGCAGGAACTGGGTGGAGGGGGGAAAATGGGAGGAAAAAAAGGGGGAAACATCTATAATACTCTCAACAATAAAGATTTTTTTAAAAAGAAGGCTGGCCCGTAGCTCTGGGGTTGAGCATCAACCCATACACCGAGAGCTTGCCAGTTCGATTCCCAGTCAGGGCACATGGCCAGGTTGTGGGCCCAATCCCTAGTGGGGGGCATGCAGGAGGCAGCCAATCCATGTTCTCTCTCATGGATGTTTCTATCTCCCTCTCCCTCTAAAATCAATAGAGAAAAAATATTATTTAAAAAAAAATTTTAAGAAAATTTCAACCTTAAAACTGCATCAAAAGCTAGAAAAAAAAAATAGAATTGAGATTTTTCAGTATCTCTAGAACTCAATAGGATTCCCTGTTTTGAAAGAATGAGCTACAACTAAAAAAATGCCAATTGGAATTCAATCACAATGATGGGTCTGCCTAGCAAAGTTGGTTTCACATCCTATTTACCTAAAAATAACCAGAAGGAAAAAAAAAAAATTACAGGTTAATTTACACTTGGTTTCATTTTAACTTCAATTTAGAATGTAGAGTTCCAAGTAATTTGAAGTTGGATACATTTACATCTATGATACTATCGTAAAATCCAAACGTTTTAATGTGCTAAAATGGATTTCACACTTTGAGCTTTCTGTAAGTTTTATTTTTAAGGAAACATAGCTTTTTTTCAAACTCGCTAAATGTGTTCATTGAGATAAAAGGTTTGCCCATACCATAGCCTCAAGAAAATGATTCTATCACACCTGGCTAAGCTTTCTAGTTCAACATTTTCCCTCTTTCATGACGTGCAGTACCATATTCTGACGAAGTTCTTCCCCAAATACGCTTTAGCAACGTGCTTCAGTCACTACCTAAGATTAAGGCTAATGGGCCCAAGGAGCCAAGTGCCATTTTCCTTTGGCCTTCATAGCAGGTAAGAAAAAGGCCTTTTTAATATACACACCTGAAGACAGTGAAGCAGCGTCAGCCTACCGGAGGCGGAGTAAAGCCATCCTCAGAGAGGCACAAATACCACATTTGCGTGCTAAGCAGCTGTTTTTAATCACTGAGAGACCACGTCAGGCACATTTTGTTGGAATAAATGTTCCACTTCCATAGTAAACTGAAGTTGAAGGAAAGCCATGTTACAAACGGAGAGTTAAAACGGGCTCAACACATTTCCCCCAACGACCAGGTTTGCTTCGCAGAATATATTTCTTTTGACAGGTAACATTTCTCTGTCCCCAAGGCGCCCCAGCGAGTTGGCTCAGCTCACCAGGTGTCTTTCGGCCTCATCGGGTCCCGGCATTGTTTAGGCTCTGGTCATCGTCCAGAGAATCCTAGCTATTCATTGTGCCTCTTCAGTTTTGCTAACATTACTGTTCATCAGTGATTTTAACTTGTTTATTGAAGAATATCGTGTGGCCCTGGCCGGTTTGGCTCTGCGGTTAGAGGACCAATGAGTAGCGGGTTGGATTCCGGTCAAGGGCACGGACCTCGGTTGCAGTTCGTCCCGGGCCCTGGTCGGGTCATGCGAGAGGCAACCAGTCGATGTGGCTCTATCGCATCGAAGTTTCTCTCTGTCTCTCTCTCCCTCCTTCTTGCCCACTCTGATTATAGGTGGAAAAAATATCCTCGGATGAGGAATAAAAAAAATGAAATAAAAAGAATAACGTGTGGCTCAGAAGACACTGAAATCTGGGAACTAGTTCTTTAGGTATAGACTTAGTCTATTTAGATCGAAAAAGAACTGCTGGTGTCCCCATCTATGAGGCCTTGGTCCCCTTGCGCACTTTCGGAGCTAGCTCAGGGGCGGTTTCTCACAGGTGACACTGAGGAGACTCCGTGGCACTCCTGTGACGTTGTCATGGTTTGGTCCTTGTACCCAGGACTTGGTACAAAGATTATATTTCTGAGCAACCTTTGCAGGGGTCGCGAGAACTGTGAAGGTGCCCAGCTCCAGTTTCCCGCCACCAGTCAGTTTGCAGAACCTTTTCTTTGTCCTTGAACATAGAACTGCGATTTTAGGCGTGAGCCCTGGGAAGGCAGTTTCTAGCTAAAAAGCAGGCAGTCTCTTCAGTCCTGGTGCCTTGGTCGGATTAAGTGGCATCTGTGGCTCCCGGGACCAGACAGTGAGCAAAGGGGAAAATGTATTGCAGTGCAGAGGTCTCCTGAGTGACCCTCCTAACGCTTCATCTGCTTGATGAGTTTTAAAGATTTCTCTTTATCGCCCTAGCCAGTGCGGCTCAGTGGTTAGAGCGTCAGCCCACATACCAAAGGGTCTCGGGTTCGATTCCTGGTCAAGGGCATGTACCTGGGTTGCAGGTTCGATCCCGGGCCTTGGGGCTCGTGTGAGAGGCAACCGGTCAATGTGTGTGTCTCTCTCGCTCTTCCTCTTACCCTCCCTCCCACTCTCTCTAAAAATCAGTGGGAAAAAATATATCCCCTGGTGAGGATTAACAACAACAAAAAGATTACTCTTTATGTCAACCACCCCTAAACAAACCTTCTGTGTCTTTTCCCCACACGACATTTGCACTTCACGGACAGATTGGGACTGTCAGTGTGCCTACCCATTTGACTTCCCACCTTTCATCCAATGTATTTGTCGCTCTGGT